CCCTATGTGCTATGCTGAGGTCTGTGATGAATAGTAAAAGGTCTGATTATCCTGAGACTTGCACTTCCATGACCTTTTCTCCCAGCAGTTTCTCACCAGTCACAGCACAGTAATGATGTGGCTGGCAGAGTGTTTGCTGACAGCTTGGGGCGTGTTCAGTTCATGTTAACCTGAAGTATCGGAGACATGACTGGGATCAGCGTCCGACAGTCTGACTTGAAGGAGTTTGGGGTCTGGATTGTTGTAGCTGGATGTGTGATCTGACTTTTCTGCTGAGACCTCTCCCATGACACAGTGCTTTACTGTATAGACAGTAGAGCAAAGCTGGCATAATTTCTTCCATTTGGTGATTCTATGTGCTAAACTTTATTGATACACGCCCAAAAGGATCCTTCCTTTGGACACTGACCAGCACATCAGAGGCTTGCTGGCGCTGTTAATCAGCAGGAGAAACTAGTTCTGATTTTGGCAAGCTGCTTGAACACATTTGAGGTGAGAACTGCCTGAGGTGAGATGCTAATGAGCTTTAAGGATTGAGGAAGGTCTGTTGAGATGGATAGCAGTGTAAGCATGAGCCTTGTGGATCATGTTTACACTCTCTGCTATGGATGACTTGGAAGAGCCCTAAGCCTAAAGCCATGAACAGGTCAATTGCTCTCTCCTTGGACAGATTTATTTTTTGGCATCTCCTTTTAAAATGCTAGAATTGTAATAAAAATTGCAAGAATTGGGCCAATTCCACTCTGAGGCCTATCTAAGCAGTGGTAGTAGATGACACAGGGCTTTTTCCCTGTGAAAAGTCAGAGGGGGAAAAAACCTGCAGTAGATGAGGGTAAACTAGAACCTGTTTCCTCACTGCAGCAGAAGGGAAGGACAAATGTCCGCTCTGGTCTGGTTATTGTTACTCCTTTTATCTGTAGTCATAATTCTACAAAGCACTGTCATATTTTGAGAAGAAAACGCGATAGCCTTTTTGAAAGTTGTTACACTAGCTTTCCTTATTGGTATATGCTACTGTGTTGTTGGTTTTGTTTTTTTCCCCTTACCAATATATCACTAATATTGTTTTAATAATTTACTGGAAATAGTTTTGAGTTTAATTTGCATCTTGACTTGCAGAAGTAGTTTTAAATTAATCTTGTGTTCACAGGGTTCTTACCTCTTAGCAGCTTCAAATGACTTTGCCAGCAGAATCTGGACGGTTGATGACAATCGATTACGGGTGAGTCGCTTGAAGGCAAAGCAGTGCTCGGGCTGTTTCTGCCTTGTATTTCCAGTTTTGTCTAATGGGGACATGACAGTTTTGAAAGTTGGGCATTTACAGATGCTTTCAATGGTTATTTCTGTTAACAGGATCTTTATTTCTCTTAAAGGTCTTCACAGCAAGACCTAAAATCCCCTTCTGGGGAAATTTAAATGCTTCTTACGGTTTATGGAGGAATAGTTCAATGTGTTAGCCTCAGTCCAAGGAAAGGACTGTTGAAGAAGGGTTTGCAGGAGACAGAGAGGGATTTTTGTTTCAAGTCAGGAGCAGCATTCTTGAAAAGGAGTCCCTTGCCAAGCTGTTAAAGGTAGTGAGCCTAAAAGTGCTTGCCTTCAGTCTAAACGTTCTTTGAGAGATTCCTTCTCTTCTCCCAACTCCTTTGTGCTCACATTCTTCTCCAACACTTAGCTCTAGTTTGAAGAAGGATTCACCTTTGAGTGGCCAGAAGTTGCTTTTCAGCTTTGAGAGGTTTTATTTTCTCCTTCCTATGTACACTTTTTCTCAACTTTTTATATGAGGAAGATGCTACTTCGATGTTGTGAATCTTCTGACATTTCATGTGTCAGTTATAACCTACAATTGTGTTGTAATTCACTGTGTAGTTCTCAGTGTGGAGATGTCAGGTCTCATTTAGGAAAGTGAAGAATACTAGTTCTTTTGCAGCTTCTGCTTGGCTGCAAAACCTACTATTGGATATGAATTATAGTGAATAAAAGTTTAGCAGACTGTAGATTACTCACTACAAAAAAAAGTGAGTTATCCCTGCAAACATCCTGGCTTCACAGTATCATCCTGTAATTTTTTGGTGTCCTGGCTCACTACCAGCTTTGGGTGAGTGCATTCAGTGCTGAGATAAAATAGTGCATTCTTCATTTCAAGTGTGTGTGGTACAGATTTGTCATGGCTTGCACATGAGCTGGAGGCACTGAAGCTGAAATCACAGTAAATTTTGCCACAAACTCCCCACTTAAAGCAAATACCTGTACGTAATGACTGTGCAGGAGGAGCAGGAGAGAGATGCAGAGGGAAAGTTTACATCCTTCTCTCTGGAGTTTGTGGCCTTTCTTAAGACGAAGTGGTCTTTATGGGGTGATTCATTCTTTCAGAGTTTGTGTTGTGTATCAGGTTTGCTTTTTTCCAAACTTTGCTCTCATTCCTTTCCATTCTTAAGGGTTTTTCTTTTGTATTTCCCAAGCCCAGATTGCTTTGTAATTTGATAGTCCTTTGAGTATTTTTTTAAAAAACCTAACTATATAGCAAAGATTTCTCTCTTGCTTTTCACAGTTCTTGCTTCAGTCAGTCATTATCTGTTTTGTGATTTAGTATGTAAATATTCAGCAGTTTGAAGTGAATGTGGTTCATGTTCTTAGCCTCACAGAGCCTCCCCCTGCATTTGCAGAAACTGCTGCAGGGAGTTTTTCTGAAACCTCTGGTTGTCTCAGCTTTCAGGCTTGAGGATGTGGCAACATTTGAGACTACCCTGTTGTATTCTTGAGAGAAGCTCATTATAAAAACCTGAAGGCACGATTTCTACTTTCAGCATGCGTTAGCCTGTTCTCCTCATTGCTTCTGCAAGGCTGTGTTGCAGTTGCCATCTGTCCGTGAAACATAGGTGTGTGGAGTGTTGAGGAACAGAGCTCGCAGGTTCCCCGAGTAGCTAGAGAAACTGCAGCCAAAGGTGACCTGTGTCTCCCAGCTTCAGGCTGAACTCTGTGGTGCTGAACACTCCTACCCTGTGTTAAGCTCTGTTTAACTATAATAGATTTTTTTTTTTTCCTCCAGGCAGTGCAGTAGATAAGCCAATTATGATTTGAGCTTGTATTTGAGTTATTAAATAGCAGAACTAGTAAGCTAGGAGGAAAGGGAGCAAGTGGAACTGTGCAGTTTTACCATATAAATCTCTCGTCCTCAGCACACCCTGACAGGTCACAGTGGTAAAGTTCTGTCGGCCAAGTTCTTGCTGGACAATGCACGCATTGTTTCGGGAAGTCATGACCGGACCCTCAAGCTCTGGGACCTCCGCAGCAAAGTTTGTAAGGAAACCTGACTTCTGTCTTTCTGTGCTTCTACTGAATGTAAATGGAAGTAGGACATCAGCCAGATTGTTTCATCATCTTGCTAGTCTGAAAAAGCAAAAACTAGCAGCCATGCCATCTTCTGTTGTTACGCAAGTAATTGGATTCTTTCTGCCTGTTACCTGAAATAAGAATAAGAAATCATGTGTGTGCAGGAAGCACTGTTAATGCTATTACATGAACAGCAGCTGCGTTCTGTGAGCCTTCTTTGTTTACCGGTATGGGGGTGGGTATTTTAGTCTTCCACTAAAAACTTGGAACCAGGTCAGGGTTTTTAACCCCGAGATGGATGGAAATGTCTCTTGGAAATGTACCAGAAATTTCTACATCTCAAATGAAGGAAATGCTAGGATCCAGACTTTTCTCTGGGAGAAACACCTTATTTCCTTGGCTTTTTTCCTATTGATGGCTCTTAAACCTGCTTGCACTGAGAGAGAAGCCAAGATACCTTGATACCTGGACCACAAACATAGGTCAAGGAGGCAGTTTCATGTAGTTTAGCAGTAGCAAATTATAGCTGTCTAAATATGAAGTGGAAGTAAAGCAGCTGTTATGGAAGCATGTAAAGGAATATAAGCCACAGAAAAGGCGATTGAGAAGGGCAGAGAGGTTGTTGAAGACTTAAGTCAGGATTATTCTAAGACAGAGTTTGTCTGCCCTGTGGCACTCCTTGGACACTGCTCTGTGTGGCCACTATGTGTGTGTTTGTGTGGCATAGTGACTATTTTCTGTCTCTGTTTTCATCAGCTTGCACAGTGTAAATTTCAGTGTGTCACCATTGGTTTATCCTTTTCAGGTATAAAAACAGTGTTTGCAGGATCTAGCTGCAACGACATCGTGTGTACCGAGCAATGTGTAATGAGTGGACATTTTGATAAGAAAATCCGTTTCTGGGACATCAGGTAAAACTATTGTAAGAGAATTTATAGTGTAGGAGTGGTTATGGGATTGCTGCCTGAGTATAATCTGAACTATGGAACTTTTCTTCATGAGACTGGAAGTTAATGAGACTGTTACAAGAGTTGCAGAAGGCCATTGAAAGAGACTTTTGTTACGACTTTTATTACTGTTTGGTTTGGGTTTGGGATTTTTTTGTGGGAGAAGGGATGCTGTTTCCTTTCTGGAAAGGCAGTCTGCTTTCTTGTAAATATTTTGCATTGGTCAGTACTTGCCATTCCATATGTTACCTAGGTTTTTTTGAATCGAAATGTGAGAATAAGCCAGTAATCCTTTTTCTCTTGTTCTTCCACATTGGGACGAGTCAAAGTTTTTTGATGCAGTGGTTTGGCTTCTGGATTCTGGTTTACTATTTTCTTTCCCTCCTTTGTTTTTTTCTTTCTATTCTTAGGACTGAAAGCATAGTAAAAGAACTGGAGCTGCTTGGGAGAATCACAGCTCTGGATCTGAACTCAGAGCGAACAGAGCTTTTGACCTGCTCCCGAGATGATCTATTAAAGATCATTGATCTGCGGGTTGCTGCTGTGAAGCAGACGTTCAGGTGAGTGTGTTCTCCACAAGAACATTACACATTTCAGACCTTTGGATTGCCCTCAGTGTTGGAGTGTTTTTCAGTGTCTCCTTGGACAGAGCAGTCTCCTAACTTTTTCCCTGCACGGGCACCAAACTTCTCTGGAGCCTGACAGCGAGGATCTGCTCTGGTGGATCTTTTCATTTGCCTCTTTAGAAAAGATAGCTTGGCTTAGAAGTCTTTGGCCTAAAGGAAAGAATTTCTTCAGATGCAATTGAGGGGAGGGTGTGAGAGAAATGCAAATTGTGATTAAGGGTTACTGGAGCTTATGCCAAACCATGTAGAAATCCTTACCGTGCTCTTTAGTGAGAACCTGGAAGTCCATCTTCTTACAAAGGACTTTACAATTATCTGATTTTAACTTTTCAGTGCGCAGGGATTCAAATGTGGCTCTGACTGGACAAGAGTTGTGTTCAGGTAAGGTCAGATATAAGCAAGATATCCGGATAAAACTTTCCCCAGTGAAAGTGAGTGATGCGTGATGCTTGGCTGCATTGTCCCCATTTACAGCTAGAAAAACTGGGGCAGAGTTTGTGATTTGCCCAAGGTTACCTCTTGGTCAGGACAGAGTACATATGTAAATGTTGATCCAATGTCTTGGAAACTTTCTGATTTCAAAGTGCTTTCGCCTTTTAGTGTTAGCTTAAAAGCCTGTTCAATGCCAAGTTGCTTGCTTAGGAAGTTGCGGGTGGAGTGATGATGTGTGCTGGTACTTTGCTGACTTTAAAATTGCTCTCTGCCTGCTGCACCTTCTCTGATCTCATAGCCCTGACGGTAACTATGTGGCTGCGGGTTCAGCTGATGGGGCCCTCTACATTTGGAATGTGCTCACTGGGAAATTGGAACGGACACTTGCGAAGCATCACAGGTGAGGGGAAGCCGGCCATACAGTCTGAAGCAGGGATCTGGGTTGTGAATCTTGCTGAGCCATGAAAGAATTGTGGTCGTACAGCTTTGCAACTTATATTGGTGCATGAGAATTTTTAATACGCGGATTATTTGTGGATTCATGACAGTATTCTCTAGATTGAAATAAGGTTAGGTTTGTTATTGTTCAACTTCTGAAACTGAGATACTTTAAGTGTACTTCATTAGAATTGTATCTGAAGAAACTATCTCAGGCTCATTAAAAGCAGGAATCTCTCGAGAGCTGAGAAGGTGCTTTTTCTCTGATAGTCAGACTACTATAGAATTTCATTCCGATGTTAAGTGCTGTTGTGGAATTCAGCTTTTTTGTAAACTTACACCTGGCTTCCATTTCAGTTCTTCTATCAATGCAGTCGCGTGGTCGCCAGCGGGTGCCCACGTGGTGAGTGTGGACAAAGGCAACAAGGCTGTCCTGTGGTCTGAGTTCTGACTGGCCGGCGGGTGAAAGGCAGAGCGTCCAGCGCCTCTGTGTGTGGTGGTATTGGTCCGTGGCTGAACAGAATGGAGACCCAAGCCCAGATCCGTCCGGAGCGCGGATGTTAACAAGCGCATGGGCTTCACTTTCCAGAGGAAAGTTCAAAAGCAATGGAGAAGGAGCCTGAGTCAGAGACTTCTTATGGCCATAACTACGCTGTGGCACTCGGACTCAGCAAGGGATTGGCTGTTCTGGGTGGCGAATGCCACTTAGTCCTGCCTTTACATGCGGTATCTATGCACCAAGTGGAGCTGAAGATAACTAGCGGGATTCCTCACCAGACAGCTGTGCCAAATACCCTGTCACACAAATGTATCTACAGCACTTCTGAGGTGGAGATGTTGGGAAGAAGTTACTGTGTATGCTGACTTAATACGTGTCCTGTCTCCTGTGTCCTGTTCTTGTGGCCTAGTTCAGGCTTGGGGTGAGAAGATCTTGGAAAGTGGACAGGTCCTAGGCAGTCTGAAGTGTTGGAACAGCTTTTCAAGAGAGTCTCCCGTGGCTCTGGCAGCTCTGCCGTTGAGTTACCAGCTCAATTCAGATCTGCTCTGATCCTGACACAGGTTCTCCAGCGCTGTC